TCGAAATGTGCCTAAAATTCGTTTCTTTCCAAGGCAGCGCACATTTCTAGTTATTTTATGGAGGCGACTGCATTTTATGAAAATCGGCAAGTTGTCGCTCTTTGATTCGTGTCCAAAAACTCCATCTCTTAAGTGGATTTGAGTTCGGCTTATGTCTACCCATTTGGCTCTTAAAGGTCATGTTACACGAGACGATTCGCGATGACGATTTTTAGAGCAATACAGCGTTGCAACATTGTTGCGACATTGTTTTGAATGGTTACAGCTTTGTTCCAGCATTGCAACGCTGTGTTGCGCTAAAAATCGTCGTTGCGAATCGTCCCGTGTAACATGACCTTAGCTGTCCTTCGCCGCTTTACCCCACCTGATTTAAATCAGCATCAACATTCAATCCGGCCTGTAACGTGCGGAGTCTCTGTCAGTAAGAACCGAGATTTGCCAAAACGGTGTCTTCGGCACCGATAGAGTAAAATTTGAAAGAAATTAACGATCTTACTTAACTTGCAGCGATTATGCGTATTTCAACGATGGCGTATTTTTAATTCGTGGATTACGTGTAGCGTTAGGAGCGCCGGAGTTATTGTGGGCCCTGCGATATGCAAATGTATCACTAAGGCGTAGACACTTTCGGAATTAGTCGGTTCGTACGAGAGCGCCCGAGACAAAACTACAGTTGTCGTAGATCGATCGTTCCCGAACGTCCCCGCGATAAAGAAGTGCTGAGCATGCATTCTATCTAGAGCTTTCGATGTTATGATTTTGTAGCTTCCATAGGACGGTAAGTTGTCTTCATGTGAACTTCGAATGTTTCAAATTAGGCATGCCTAACTTGGGACAGAATTTAGCCAATGTCTTAAGACAGGAAACTCAATGCTAAAGTGAGTAAACAACAATAGTTCTCTCCAAGTAGGCACTAGCCTCATATAGGCACCTACTGTCACATATGTTCCCTGGAATGATGGAATACCCAGAAAAGTCTAAGCCTCTTCTCATGTTTTTATCGTAAAATATGTCCAACGTAAACCGGCAAACTAAGCCCTACAATGTACCTTTGTGAGAGAGATTTTGCACTATATGACCCATGTTTTGACAGACTAATACCAGTAGACTATTGCTAGTTGATTCTAACATACTTAATAATACACGAGTCAGCCAGAGGCACCCTTTGATTTCTGTACGATATTTCTTTTGTTTTGTTTCGTTTTGTTTTCATGACGGGACTATGAACGTTTGGCATTTTTTCTGGTGCGCACTTGCGTAGGTGCAGAGGGTGATAACGACCATTAACCCCATTGAGACGTTCTTGGAAAAGTCGCTCTCTCCTGCACCACAGCGAAACTTGGTACTAGCTTTTGAGAGTACTGAGTGCTTTGCATCAGTTTTCTTGTCACCACAGAAATTAATGTTTCCATGTTATTAGACGTTTCGCTAGCTAGAAGCACTAAAGAGGAAAGCGGGGTCTCTCGTAGTCTATAATCTATGGAATCAGCACAACATTGTCGGCCCTTGACATGTTCAGCAGTGTAGCAAACTTTTCAAAGTAGCTAAACTGAGCAGAATTTGAATTAAGCGGGATCCCAGTTCTCTGGATTCAGTTGGCTAGTCGGAGGCATCATTATTCCTCGAGCCCTATGCATTTCGGGCCACGTGGTCCAACCGAGAATTTTTTGTCCCTCCCGGCCGTTTGCGTATAGGATAGGCCACAGAAATGCATTGACCGAGAAGGCATGGGAGGACGTCGTACACAGCCGACAAAGGACAATGAAGAGAATGGATTTAGTACGTCTATTGTTCTCTTACCAGGTGTCTTAATCACAAGCTTTGCGAGAGATGTGTGCGCTAATAACTGAGGCAACAGCTAAGCTGTCTTTAGAAGGTGTGGCCTTCTGGTTTTAACTCTACTAAGTAGAGTTAAATGCCCCTTATATAGAAGAGGAATCTTTTAGTATAGAAAATCCCAATCTCAGTGCGTCAAGAAATGTAAGATACACGAGAAACAGCTAAAATCAGTTTCACTTGATTTTCACTACTGTTCGCAAAATTCAACACTACCACGCAGGCACGAAAAACAGACGAAACAGATTTTCAATACAGCGGTTTGCTTTATTATTTCTCATAAAAAACCAGCTGTGCTTTCTTGAAGAGCTGTGCGTCTCGGCAACCAGTTTGTTAGCTACACTCGACTCGATCACGAAACCCGATGTACAGACAAGACCCTTTTACAACGTATGTTAGGTTCGTTTGATTTCCGGCAACAGTTTCTCGTTTTTTGGTTTTCTTGACACCTTAATTTCGTTGAAATTTTAAAATTCTTTTCCAGAAACTCTCAGCTCAAGCGCAAGTCTTTCGTCTGTGAAAATGTGCAACAAAACCTGTACGTATACGGAAGAAAAGGATGCGATCTGTTATCAGAGCTAGTGGTATTTTTTTCGTAATTACGACTTAAACGTTCCTAATGTCTCAATGGACATATTTTAAGCAAAGGCGAAAGTTTTTGTTGGGTCTAAGAGAAATTCTCAAGAGTGATCATTCCATTATAGGAGAAGTCTATAAATGTGAGACTTCACTGACTTAACAGACCCGGTACTCAGTCTGAGACTAAATCATAAGTCAGTGGAATTCATTTAAACATTGCAAAGCAGCGTTCTCTTGCATTTTGCAGTTTCGTGATGTTGACAAAATTGAGGTGGCTATTGACAAGAACTGATTAAAAACTACAAAGCACTTCTCTTTGTTTTTCGGCCAAATTTAAAAAGCTGTTTAATTTGCACTTTAAACGCTGTTGGAAGAGGTACAGGACGAGAGTCAATATATATATATGCTCTGCTCTCTGCTTGACGTCTCAGGGGTATCTTCCGAGCGCGACTTATCTATGTTTGACAAAAAAAGCTCTTTTTGTTTTTAATTTAATGCATTTCAATCATCTGGATCACTATTTCACATCCTGGCAAAAGTCATAAGCACGAGTTTTGCAAAACCCTGCTGACAAACTAATCCGCAATTTTAAAATCCTCTGTACCAAGAAAATTTACTTTCTACGCCGCCATTGCAATAGAAGGAAATAAATGCAATTAAAACAAACTAGTTTCAAAGAAAATTGTTTTTCTTTTAAATTTACTGTGCTGTATATAGAAAGTTACACTTAAGAACAAAACAGCAGATTGCTTACCTAAAATGAATTTTGAATCTTCCCAGTTTTTATGTTTCTCTTCAACAGACGAAGCCTTTCGCGGCTAATTTATTACTATACCATTTTTTAGAAATCACCATCCTCCGCTTCAAGTCTTACGTCCGCTTGGCCAATTTAGAACTTTCTGGGAATTTTTTTTCACCAATTCGTTTTTGAAACGACGCAGGTCGTGATAGGAAAGATATATGACGGTTTTTAATTTTATTGGCATTGACTGTGAGTACATATTGACGGAACAGTGGCTTTTGAGATTGAAGTTTGAGTATAAATCACCCACTACTTTTTCTTTAATTACAAATTATCAGTAAGAGAACTCTTTCTCATTGGGTAAGTAGAAAATAAATTTTTGTTTCAGCGGAAGTTTAAGTGTCATCAATTGTCAATTAGATACGCGCTGTGCCTGTTTATGACTTTGAGTACAGCTGTATTCTTGATTGTACCTGAAAAATCTTTATTTCTGCTTCCACAAAAAAACAAGTTACTTCAGAAACAAAGGGACAACTTTACTTAACTTGACCCCATGCAGGCAGAAGTATGTTGTTCATACTGCAAGAAAGATCTGTGACGTAATTTTTGCGTCACTACTGATATCAGGCAAGTAAGGCCCCAACCTCGTTCCCAGGTTCTCTCGGCCTAGGAGAGAACCCTGGGAAGGAGGTTGGCTAGGCCTTTCTACACTTATCCGCATAGGTTTGTTTTATGCCTTCCGTAAACACGTAAACGGCGTTTTCGGGCACCAAAACGCACCATTTCGAACACGGTTCACAGAGTGGAGTTTTTTTAAAACGCCGGCTGTCATACATCATACAGCGAATGTGCTGTAAGGGATCCTTTCGTATTTCCATTGTTTTAGCGTTTTCGAGTGGAAAGGCAAAAACGATTCGAATACGCTACCTGTGGAGGCCTAGTTGTTTCGAAAACGGAGAAAAAAACCTCCATTTCAGAAAATCCGGATACGTGTGGACAAGGCCCTAATCAGTCCCAATCAACCTCGTTTCCAGGTCTCGGAAAGAAGGTAGACCTGGGTAAAAGGATGAATTCCCCTTTTTCCCGCCTTTTCCTTTGTCAAACTTTTCGTACTTACCGTCGATTGCATCTAAGCGTGTACAGGTGAGGAAAAAACGTTCTAATTGGGTGCAAACATGACATGTTTTGCCGGCAAGACATTCGATGTTTGGAGTAGGCAGCTTTTGTCGACTTGATTTGTTTTCGCTCAACAAAATATTCTTTACAAGAATTTTAGACGTTAAGAATAATTTCTGGAGGCAAGTGTGCTGTTTCTAAGCGAGAAATATGACTGAAAGTAGAGAGAAATGAAAGATGAGCGCAACGCGCTGATCAAAAACATACATACAACTTACCATTGGCGTGTCAGTTTGCTTTAACGGCTGTCAAACTTCAAATGTTTGGCGGCAAAAGATGTCATGTCTGGCACTCTATTAGAAATCAAGGCTCCGGTTGTTCAAACGTTGGATAGCGCCATTCACCGGATATATCACTGTTCGGCGGATAAGTATTAGGGAAATCAACTGCCTTATCCACTGGATAGAGATTTATCCGGTGGATCACGGCGTTATCCACTGTTCGAACAACTGGGCCCAGGTTTTTACCATGACTGAGGGAGTGGAAAAAGCCCATTCAGGATAACAACATGTAGTTCAACCACATTCACGCGCCAGCACTCTTGTTGGAACAATTTCAAAATGCTAACATTTATTCACAGTTGAACGAAAGAGAAAATATTATGTACAAAAGTATCAAACTGCTTAAGACCAGAAAAGGCTAAATTTAAATAGAGAACACAAGTAAACCGGACCGGATTTTCACAGACTGAACTGAAAATAATTCCCTAACGTCTGCACAATCATTTCACATTTTCTTCAGAGTCCAATGCACTCCCCAAAACTTACTTTCTTCAATTTCGAAGTACAGTATTATGGATAAAAATGTTATTTTTTTACAATCCACAAAAACCCCTGTGACAACCTAGGCCCTGAAAATGATTTTCTGCCCTGACTTTCCTATGGTTGTTGGCAGCTAGCCCCAATTAACAAGAATTAAACATAAAAGCATTCAGATCAAGTCGATCAAAAGTGTTGCCTCGGAAGTTGTTCTCACATTCAAATACAGCAGTAAAGGTAGACTACAAATGTTTTTTCATTAGGATAACAACTTCCTGAAGCTTAGTTTTGTATAAACTATGCTACACTTTTCTCGTTGGCGACAGTTAATTTATACATTAAAAAACAAATATGCAAATTTATGCATATTTTCGGAATAAAAAAGGATAAAATTAATTCTTGCTGGAACTTATATTGTGTATAAATAATTCAGTGAATGGCCACTAAACCCTATTAAACATCTGTTTAGGCAATGACCCATGTAATTTGAATATACATGCATGTGAGACAAGAAGAAGGCTTGGTTTTACATAATTTCATATATAGTATCACTCAAACTATAGTGCATCCAGTTTCAATTAGGAAATGCCTTGTCCACCCAATCTGCCCATGAAACAGTGTGGCTGATAGCCTTTTCCAGACCCCAAGATACTAGAGCAGTGCAGTCATGCACTAAAAAGTGATGCAAAAAATGCACGGGGGCGGGGGAGAGAGAGGGTGCCACCGCCCCCTTCCCACATTGCACAAGTCTTATTTTCACTTCCCTTGTTTTATTTTTCACAATGTCCCTACTACCTTAGAGCCTGGTACAGTCTACAATGTGGCCGATAGACTGTTCTAGGTGTTCAAAAAAGTGGAAATAATGGAGGCAGTTCAAAGAGAAGTGAGCAGGAAAAATCAGCCAGACTCTCTTTCTCTCTCCACTCTCCATTTCAAGCCACTCTCCACTATCTGAATACCTGGCAACAGTTAGACTGCTACAGCGTAGAGTTGCAATCCCAAGGCCCTGAATAAAAGCCCTTACCTCTATTTGCTACTGTTTTCCCATGCTTTACTGTAAGTTGGCCACAAACCTTGAGGTCTCATTGGCTTATTTAATAATTTGACCAGCCATTGTTGTTACTGGCTGAAGGATGGACTTGCATTAATATTTACCATTCAAGTGAAAATCACTCACATAAACCTTGTATGTAGGGAGTAACAAATCCCAACTTCTCCCGTGAATGGTGATAGATATACTCTGCAGTTCCAACTTCAGTCAGCTTAGTGTAGTCCCACATGACTGTACATACGTTTGCTTCAATTATTTCATACAGATTCTTTAGCAGGTGTTGATATAATGAACACTAACATGTACCTGGTAAAATATAGCTAACAACCAGGAGAAGAAAAAATTCAATGAGTTCTTGCAAATTCCTCACGCAGCCATTGAGAGTCCTTGTAGAACCTTGGATCACCTAATCGCAGGGCTGTTCTTTTGTAGAAGTAGTAATATAACACGGCTCCTAAAAGAGTAAAAGTCATACATGCGACAACTGGCTAGATATTTGCACAAAATACTATTCAATTGCTCCATTTTCTTTATAAATCATCTCTCTTACCCTGGTTGTTTGTCTCCCTTCAAATTCAATTATTGTGATATGGGCACCATTTTTCTTACCATTCATGCAATACTGCACATAGTCTGTCTTTTTTTATTCTTACCACCAAATTCTCTTTTTCAGGTTTTCATTTTAGATTGCCAATAGGCGACTCTGAAAAACATTGAGCTTTGAGAACAGGAGAATTAGATTTTCACGCTATGAATAGTCCCCTCCACAAAAAAATGATACCTTTGAACACTATTGAAAGCATTTTTGTTTGGTGATGACTCAAATAAAACAAGAAAACTATGTATTATAAATTACCGTACAACAAATTTCACTCACCAACTCTTTGAAAAACAAAAAGGGCTTGAAATGCTTCACTCCAGATAAACCTCCTAGGTGCACCCCACTTTAACGTCTAAAATGAAAATAATTTATTGAACAAGTACATGTACATTGTAATCACATGAAAATCAAGGCTGAAAACTAAAGCAGGAGTCTTTAGGTAACAAACAACTATTACCAGTTATTCATTGATGATGATAAAAACTATTGAATTATTAAAACTTTATTTACTGTACGTTCCAAATTCAGCGACGTGTAAAAATTGAGCATTTTTTGTTTGAAACTTTGAATACAAATAGCCTGTGCCAGACTCTCTGTCAGGGAAGATGAGTGAAAAAAGTGAGCAAGCAGTGAAATAGCGAATGAGCAAAAAATGGTGGGAAGAGAGAAGGAGAGAGCCGGTAAGCATCTTTTCAAATACCTCAATCCGCCAACTTCCAAACCCACTTCCGGCCCTGTGACCGTTTCAAAATGTCACAGGTGCAGTAAAGGAGGGTTTCACATGCTCAAAATGTTTGTTAGACTCTGTGTGCGCAAAACCAAATGATTAATGTACAGTGTAAGTGTTTAAGTAAACTGTCACAATTGACCAATCATAGGGGATACCAGGAGTTGGTATACCAGAATGAGGCATTAAAAACAATGCTTACAGCCTTACAGGCTCCAATACTCCATCTCTCCCCAGCCCCCACATGGTTTTTGCGAGACTTTTCTCGATCTGCTTTCCTCGCTCTCTTGGAGCCTGAAACAGGCATATTATGAAAGAATTGCAAGCCTATATTTCATACATATACAAAATTTGTATGTATGTTTTAGAACACTTTGGTAAAAACTTGTATGTTGTTTTTTTATTTAATTCAAACCCAGATTGGGGGACACTTACCATTGTCCATACATGAAGTCCTACTGATAGTGCTAAGTATAATATTGAGATTATTATGGTGGTCTTGAACTTCCTTATTAGAAGAGACACCAATCCAGCTTGAAATATGTAGGTGTTAAAAAACACCAGAAATACCACAATGATAGCAAAGATAATGCACAGGTCTTGTATTCTGTCAAGAAAGAAATTTAAAAATATAATCGATAAAAAAATTATATTAAAAATGGCAAAACGACAAAAGGTGAACACTCTTTTGCATGTACATGCAAGAGAATGATCAACCAGAGCTTTCAGTGTCATTATTAAAACTGACTGTATGAATGCCATGGGGAGTCACACTCAATAATTAAAACTTTACATTCATTTGGTAAAGGAAAGACACTTAAAGTCATCAAAATAGTTAGAAAGTGACAATGAACTCAAGAGCCACAGGACATACCAACATGTACAGGAACAACTTTAAATGTAAGTAATTTATTATTATTTTTTTCACAAAATTTAGGGGGGAGATGATTTACTGTGTGCCTTGTAACAAATCAAAAACTCAAACAGCAGGCAATGAAATATTATGATCAAGGGCTTCCAGCAGCTATATACATGCAGTAAATGTGAGGCTGCTCAATTATGAATACAGATATGTTGCAGGGCAGCTTTGATTAAACTTTCTGATAATAACCAGTTTTAGAACTGTGACAACCAAAAAATAATAAGAATTCTTAGACTGGAACCTGTTTAATCAAGACTGACATAACAATAAAGTATAATTTAAATTTTCACTTTTGGTATATCAAAATTTAATATGAAAAAAAGATAACCTGCTCTAATTTTATCAGTGACAATATCCATTGATTTACAAAATTATAATGTGTGCTCCAAAATACTGCAACGGTCATATTGAACAGTCTGAGTACAAATATCTGTGCAATAAAGAAGATGAAGGACTGCCCGTTTGGATGGAGATCTAAACAAAGAAACGTAAAAGGAAGGTTGAAACCTACAATGTACGTGTTGGATCTAAAATATAGGCAAAGGCTGCTTACAGCTGTATGTAGGTGATTAAGATTTTATGATGATGAAGACAAACTAGAAGACTGTACTATAGTACACTGTATACAAACTCTGGGAGATCAAAACCTGATCGCTGTATTTTAGATTTTGTGACTCCCAATACCTGATGGAATACCTGATCCCAGAACAAATTTAGGTGCTTAAGCTAAAGCCATATAATCAGCTTAGATGCATGGTGGCATCAAATACTAAGTCGTGAAATTACATTCATGTAGCATTAAATTGTCTAATTCAAAAGATTACTTTATACTAATATTATTGTTAATGAACACAACAAAAACAGCAAAACAAAATTGTTGAAGGCTAAAAGGATTATCACCATCAAAATCTTCACCATATAAGACAATAAATGGAGACGTAGGAAAAACCTTATGATAAGGCTTAATCATAAGGGATTTACAAAGTAAAATCTGTGGCATCCTTTCAAAGTCAAACCAGAATGAATTAATGCCAATTAATGCTTTAAAAGACATGGTTTTGATCGTTTTTCATTCCATGTAACACTTCTTACTGGTCCCTACAGAATCTGTCTTAGCCAGAGTTGACTTTAAAATTGTAGCCTTTTTACCAGTATTCGATTAGAAACCTGTGTACCTACAGCTAAAAATATAGATTTTAAAAGAGTAAATGCTGTCATCCTTTTAAGTCAAAGAAGATTGCATATTTGCAAGGAAAGCCAATTTGCTGCGTAAATTGGGATAGACAAGGCCAGCAAGTTACTGATACATGTGTATGTAGTGAAATTTATCTTTTGTTTGTATGCCAAAAAAGAATTAAACAAAGATTAGAATTTATGGGATCTTTAACTTTTTGCACGTTCTGGTCAGGAAAATCTGTTTAACCCTTTTATTTACGCGTAGAGAATAGCATTCCTTCAAGAAAACAAATCGAGGAAAGGTATAAAAGCAAAGACGTGTGCCGAAGAATCGTCGCCAGCTGGGTAATTGTAAATTACCTCTCTCTGAACTGCAATACAATGTATCTACAGCTGTATGAGGAATATTTAAAAAAGTTGGAATTTTCACATATTTTCCTACATTAATCATCCTGTCAGTTCGACAAGATATGGAGGGAAAACCTAAAATAAAGAAGGGAATACTTACGAATGAATACTGTAAAAAAGATAATGAAATCAATACGCGTGCGAAGAATTGATCATGATAAAGATTTCAAAGTTGGCGCTGTTATCCTAACAAGTCAAACATCGGCGTGCTTAGCAAATCGTTGTGGTTTGAATGGCAACCACACGAGCTCAAGAATAAACCAAGCGATCTTTTGACTTCTTTCAGACAAAAGTGACGATTCTAATAACTTAAGAACGATTATCGACCCAAGAGTGAAAACACGTTCCTTATCGGAAATGCCCGCGCGTTAACACCCAAGGAAAAAAAATTCAAAGGCACTGGATTTAAATTACTTACATGTACAACACGAGGAGAACGACATCAGCCGTACGAAAGAGTTCTCCAAAGGAATTGATGAACAAATCCACAAACAGGAACAAGAGCTGGAGATAAACTACAAAGCAAAACCGTGAAACTTTCATCCTGTGTCAACCATGTTTGTTATCAACAAATGCAACAAATAATATTTTCAACAAATGAAAGAAAGCCGCTGACAATCGTCTTGTGTCTTCTACTCATCCATCCTCGGAGACCCAGGGGCAGTCAGTCGGGCCGGGAGAAAAGGCGCGACGAAAGTTTTCAAGTACGGGCGAAAGAGCCCCTGGGTACCGACTCTCACCGGACCATTTCCAAAAATTCAAAAGGATGCCGGCTCCTGATTGGGCACAAAAAAACCTTTGTATTATTGTGCCCAATCAGCGAGCAGCATCTCCTGAGTTCTTTTCATGTGTTCGTACACGACGGCTATTATCTCGCCATACTTGTCTGGTTCGTTCACCAAGGTTGTGCGTGTATATTCGCAAGGGAAACTTTCACTTTCTGCTTCCCTAAACAGGAACGAAGGAACTATCGATGACTCGGAAAAACGTTTCGGATGACTAATTGCCATTTACACCAAGAAAATTCTGCTTCTGACCGATCACAAGGTATCGTAAACAACGTAAATAGAAGGCGTGAACGATAAAAGCATGAATGGAATACGTCTTGAAAGCTCAAGCTTTAAAATACCCTCACATGCGTTTCCATGTGTTAGTTTTCGGGAAGACAGTATTTTCAAATGGACGGGGATGTTCTTTATAACTGAAAGTTTCCTGATTGCGTGCATTTCTTTGGTGAACGAGCCAGACAAGTATGCACGCGCGCATGCATTCCCACAGGTAAAGTAAGAAGGCTTTCTAAATTACCCGCGTTAAGTAGGTTACGCTACGCACGTGTGATTTATGGAGAATCATGTTAGTAGTTAGCTTTTAACCGATGATGAACACCTCTGGAAATTTCTGTCTTAAGTGTGGTTGTGAGTTTTTGGATAAAAAAAGAAAGAGGAATATTACTGGCGAATTTGGAAAGATTTACCAGGCTGTGTTCAATGAAAATTTAAGTGAAAATGACTCTCTGCCTCGTGCAGTTTGTGCCAGCTGCAAATACCAAATTGAAAAGGCATGGCAACAGTCAAGAAAAGCAGAAGAACAGTCAATTCAATACTTGTCATTGTTAAAAAGAAAACATGACCAGTCTCCTTTGTCATCAAGTTGTGGTGACGAACAAACAGTGACCCGAATAGAACGTAAGAAGAAAGGTCACAGACTTGTTTTTGAAGCCAACTGCCCTGAACAAATGTCGGTAACAGCAAATCCAGCAAAAGAATTTGCATATATTCTACCAAAGTTACTCACACCATCTGCAGCAGTGGCTCATGCATTTGTCAGTGAACCGCCATCAACCATACGTCAAGTCAGAGAAGTACATAATGTTGCTACGCAGACTGCAAAATCAAGCTGTCATTGCCAGCCACGTGCAAAAAAAGGTACATCCGTTAAGGTAAGCAGCCAATATTATTGTTCCAGTAATTATCAGGACAGCTTGACTACAAGATCAGCTAAGTTACATGTACTGATCTTATCATATTCAAAGATTACTCATGACAAGTCATATTTGGGGAATGAATTCAAAAATACTAGTCTTGGTCCCCAAATGTCTCACAAGTTGTACCTTAATCTTGTAATAACATTGAAAAACTGCTAAATTTCATTATCATGGGCAACAAGTATCAATCTAAGCAGTATGCCTTTATTTATGAATGCAATGAATAATGATGTTGTTTTCTTTGTAATGATCTCGATTCAGTTGTAATTTTGTTCTTTAATATACAATGATTCTTTTGTTCTGATCAAGGTGATTGTGCACTTCAAATCCAAAACTGTGTCAAGGGAATTACCCAAAGATCAAAGCGGTCTGGGGATAGCCCTTTGCTTAAAACGACCTGCTTCAGCAATCAGCGCAGCTGCTTTTAAATCCAAAAGTTTGAGAAATTCTTTGATTCATCATGTCTGCCTCCAAATCAACAAGGAGTGTCGTAAACTGGAGAAGAAATCCTTGCTAAAGAAGACTGCTGTTAGAGACCTCAAACACTTTCAGTGGAATGCACTTCTCAAAGAATGGATGAAGGAAGCCCCTACCTTTTACAAAGTCCTTAAGTCTATAGCAATGTCCCCCACAATTTCTAGGAACCAGAGGAAGAAACAGTTGTTGAAGCCCGTAATTGGTTGTGCTGGTGCAGTACTGCTCAAGGGACGCAATTCGAGGTTATCTGCTGTGCAACATCTTGTTGGCCTTTCACTGTTTCTTGGGCGAACACGAAAAAAGGTGAGTTATTGTTTCAGTAGTTCCAGACATGGAGCTAAGGTGGCTGGTCCTACTCTGTGACCAAAATGAAGTTCATGGTACCTTAGTTTTGGTCAAAAATAAAGAGGGAGCATGGCACCTCCCCTAGTTCTGTGACTGATACCTCTTGCCAGTAATAATAGTATACTGTGTATGACAATTACACCTCCTGTTTTATGTCTTTGATGACTTGTTTTAATAACCATCAGGGATTTTCAAGACTACAAAAGCTTGGAGTGACTGTCTGCAAAGCTGTAACAAACAGAAAGATTGCAGAAGTATCACTTGGCTACAGCAAGAAAGTGAAGGCGTGGAGAGCCAATGTCGAAAACAAAAACAAAGATCCCCCAGAAGAGGTACATGTAGTTGTCTGAAATGTTCATTGAATTCAAAACAGTAATAGTAACAGTAACTTCCTAAGAGAAATCAGTTACGGAAATTTATTTTTATTTCCTTTTTTAATTTTTTAAAAATAATTCTTTGTTGTCTTGAATTTATTAAAATGTATGCTCATGTTGGTCCAACATTATTTTGCAGCTTACTGTTGTTGAAGAGGGAGGAGAAGAAAGTACTGCAGTGGATACACCATCTGAAGATCCAAATGTTGGTATGATAATGATTTGCAATTTTTAAGAGACATTTATACGTAGTATAAATAGCTTGTAGGTGTTCTTAATGCAATAACTATTATACTTACAAATCATTGATAACTGAAATAATCTGCCATTTAATAGAAACAAATGACAGCAATAAGGATATTAATACTGTAGATTAAAACCATAGGCATAAATTTTTTCAGAATACATGTTGGTCACCAAAACCATCTGTAAAATACTCAAATTAGCAATTCAAATAAGCACCCCTTGAGTCTAACATTATTAAAATTAGAGACCCTATTGAAATAAGCACTCCCCCAACCTACCCACAAGAAAGAAAACAATTACCGAATCTGAATATCTGTGATAGAAGTAGAATAGAATATTTTCAACACCAGAACTATAGGTCTTAAAAGGGAACAGAAATTTGAGAGCGGTCACACAGATTTGTGTTTCTTCTTATAGATACATGTACATTCTGCTACAGTGGATCTATTTACTGGGAATGACTTGACAGTTGGTTATTTTATTAGGCCGAAACATAAAACCAAAGTAGGCACCCTTACCAAATAAGCACCTGCTGTTTAATTAGTGCCTCCTCTCATCTCTGAGAGAATTTTGCTAATTCAAGCATTTACAGTTGTTTTACTTTACTTTTTACCAGACTGTGAAGATGTCCCAGATGGTTTTGATTCAATGTCGGTAGTGTCAAATGACTCCCTTGTCAGTTCGGTAAATTCAGATTCAGACAACAATGATGATTCTGGAGAAGCTACACCTCTGCAGTACACTAATGGCGTGTGTGACTATGGCTTGAATGGGGACAATTTGGACTGGCTGAGAAGACCTTCCATCTACTCAAAGGATAAGGACACTGAGTCAGTACACTGGTTTAATTTGTTGGCTTATGACAACAGGGTTGCTAACTTGGATTTGAATGATGATGCACCTATCAGACACATTATGGAATTACCCAATTCAAGTTTCCTGCCCACACCAGAAGATCATGCAAAACTCAAAAAAGACTTTATTGTGCTTGTGCTTCGTATCCTAACCAAGCATTGCAAGTTCTTCAGTCAGTTTTCTCACATGATTCCTTCTCACCTTGCTCATCAATACAGCAAGGAAATGCGTCAGCACTCACATATTGTAGGTTTCAACTTAACTAATGTTCTGTTCCTTCTGATCAGCTAGTTATTGTTGTAAATGTTATAACATACAGCTATTCTGATTATCATCATCTTTTTTATTGAAAATCACAACTGGCAGTGTACCTTTATAAACAGATTTGGGTCCAATTTTTCTGCGTAGTTTTTTTACGTTGCTTCATTACAGAAGTTAGGTATAAGCAAAAGGAATCCAGCAGACCACTTTTGGATGTATCAGTTTTCTGAATTTTTTTTTATCCTTTGGGGGGCAGGGGTTTGGGGACAGAAAACTTTGAGGTGCTTCCTTGTTATGGGGGAGGGGCATTAGAGTTTGGAGATGGTCATTAGGGTGTCATGAAAGTTTTCTCATGTCACATAGACCCAAATTTTATCACCACTATTTTATCAGGAACTTCATTGAAATACCATCAAAAAGCCTTTTCATATCAAGCAGAATGAGCTTACAGACATTACCATGCCCAGTGCTGTTTCTTGTACCAGATCTAGAGGAAGAGTGGGGCCAAGTGCACAAGAAGAATAATTTTGCTACTAAATCAGTGTTATATGTTGCTTCCAAAACAATACTCTTTAATGCTGGGAGGGGGTCATTTAATTTTTGTTTTTGTCTGAGGGGGGTTGAAAGTTATTGAAAGGAGAGCCGTAGAGCCCCCACCCCATCTGCAAGGCAATCAAAATGATTAATAAAATGACTGAATGCCATAGTGGTAACATGTAATTTACATGCATGGTTAAAGTACCCTAAAATGGAGCATTGCTCTGTAGCCTGCCGGTTGAATCGGTTGTTGTAGAATATTGCATTTTACTTTCTCAAAAACTTTATTTTTGATGAAGAACCCAGATTTTTAATTAAACTATCAAACAAGTTCTGAAATTATAATTATATAAGAAATAGAAATGGTAAAAATAATGATAATAATAATAATGACAATAATAATAATAATAATAATAATAATAATATTTTAGCAGTGAGCCCACTTCAGCAGGTGATCTTCAGTGGGGTTCTGAATGTTATTATTTTGAACACTGATGATTAGAAGGTAATAGGTCATAAATTTATTACTTGTAATTAGCTAAACCCTTTTTTGAAATCATCAG